TTCCACCCTCCTTCCCTGGGATGGCTGGGTGCCTGGAGCCCAGCCCGGGGGAGCAGGAAGCCCAAGCCCTGAGCCACTCTGCAGCCCCTCTCTGGGGACCGTGCCCTGGGTGCCACTTCTGAGGAGCGAGCGTGCCCTGCTGCCTACTGACCTGCCCCCAGGGCAGCCCACCTGGTTCTCATCCAAACCTTTGGATGCAGGCAACAAATTAGGAGCTTTGGGGTCTAAATCAGGAGTCCCGATTCCAGAATGTTTCCTTCGGCGAATAGGACCTGCAAGGCCATACCCTTCGTAGGGCAGCAAGCCATTGGAGGACCACGTGCTGCTCCACACCTTCTGCCTGCCTGCGGCCCCCATGCTGCATCGCTGAGGAAAGCCACCCCAAGACATTTATTGTGCTGTAGCATTCTGCCTCAGCTAACAGAAAAGCCATCTTTAGTCTCCCTCAGTTGTAACCCGGACCTGACCACCTCCGGTCACGCTGTTGGTTAAGCAGGAGGGATGGCAGGAGCCCTCGGCCACACTGCAGAGCGCATTTACTGCCCCTTCTGCCCTTCCCCTGATGTCACTTTCTCATTATGACATTATACCAAATCACAATGGGGATTAACCACCCCTGTATAAGCTTATTAGAGGCTTATGCAGGCTGCTAGAGCTTGGCTTTAGACGGCATTTATTTTAATGAGCCTGGGGCTGATGTCACTACTACAGCCATGACTGTATATCTCCATTAAGCACTAAAATTAATGTGGAACACAAAATTAAGTTGCTTTATACAGTGTCTATACAAAGGTGTCAAAATCCTGATGACATACACTGAAAAAAAATGGCTGATGATGCAATGGCAAAATAAAAACGTTGAAGTGGAACTAAGGGAACAATTACAGTCCATAATAAAAAAACGCTGCCAAGTGAGTAACACTCGGTGATGGTAACTACTTGCATATACTCCGCACCGCTCACCTGCAGCAATGGATATGCAAAGGCTTAACTTGTGCACATTAAAACACTCAGTGCAAGCAAGGAAGCAAACCACCCTATTCTACTTAGCAAAAGTTGGGAGGGGAGAAAGAGGATTTTTGTTCAAATTATACGGTTGTGCAGTGCTGAATTGGCTGTATTTAGCTGTGGATTAATAGCAGGGTATTCGAGGCTGAAGGTATCCCCAGAAAAAGATGAAATTGAGCATGTCTTCATTTTGACTGAGAGCCGAGGCAATGAATTTAGGATAAGCAGTTGAACACAGGGAGGACCTGCTCTAATCACCTTTGTAGAAAGTCAGCAGTAGGAGACATTAAAAAATGGATTTGTGAGAAATTTGTACTAATTCTCTTTTCAACTCAGACAATTTCATTGGAACTCTCTCACTACTGTTAAACAAAAGCGAGTGTCTTTAACATGGGCAGAGAAACAAAAATATGGACCGATCAAGAAGAAAGTTAAACTGGCACTGAGTGCCTCAGCTCCACTTACTAATTTCATCACCAAAACACAGGGGTAGGGCCTGCACTGACTCACAAAATGTGCGAAAAGAGGTTCCTCCATTGAACGTGTCCACGGAACTTCATTAACTCTCCTTCTGACTCCCAGAAGAGTAGGATCTAAGCCAATCTATTCTGCAACAATTTCCTTTCCAGCTAGCACCTCTGCCTGCGCTGACTTTGCCATGGACACTCCACGATGGTGGTGAATGTGAGCCTGGGAAAACTTTCTAGATTCAGAGAAATAATGGTTATATATTGGGCTCTCTGTCTTTTTCTTTTCTTTCTTTTTTTTTTTTTTTCCGTTCCAGCTATACCTGCATTTTATGTGACTACAGAGTTTTCAAACAGCTATATCATAACAGTCTGTCGCAAGTGTATTGGGTGTTTCAGTTTGCCAGACCTGTCATAATAAATTAATTACAGGATGTTGCAGAAATGGCTGAGTTCCAGCAGCATCTTGCACAGTTTAATATAGCCCTATTTCCCCATTTCGATGTATTTGTGGTTAGATAAATCCTCAGAAAATTTACAGCTGCTACACACTAGTTTATTATACTCCCTGCCTGTGCAGGCGATATAAGTGCAACAAAAATTTGATGTCTGCTCAGAGCATAGATTTTACTGATATTGCTTTACCGGTGTGGAAACATTTTTCCGCTAAAAGTGGCATCTGCAGTTTCTGCCGAGCATTTGTCTTTGAGCATTACACAGGACTTGTAAACTGGCTCGCCACAGCCAAACATAGTGCAAATTCATTTGGTCTGACAAAGTCCTCACAAAATATCAGGTGGCTGGAGTTTTAGATGAAACGCAGAGCTATCATCTTCATTCAGGAGTGCAAGCTAGAACATATTTTTTTCCAGTCTTTAAAGTTAGCATGCACTTAACGTATAAACTACAGCCACGATGTTGCTGCTGAAAGCCTAATCCTTGCTGACTTTGCTGGAGCTTTGGGTAGAGGGGTCCGTCTACTCCGAGCAGCTTGCAGGACTGGGACTCTACGTATACACATCACTGCTAGAAAACAGCCCCTTCTGAAGGGGAAGGCAGCAAGTGACCGGTGTGCAACAGATTGAACAAAGGACAAATTTCATGCCAAAACCACTGTGAGTAGAACACGTCTACGAAAAGGATTGTATGGCATTTAATGTTCAAAGCAGCAGCTTGATGCTTGGTGTGAAATTCTCATCTCTGCTCTGTTTTGCACCGGGTGAAGAGGCTGGAGTGACCTGAGCCACAGCAGAGGTGTGTCAGACAACTATAAAGGTGCCCTCTGAAGCCCTGTGCCAGAAATTAGGGAACCAAAGCTCCATCTATCCCAACACCACTGCAAGCCCTAGATGATATGGACCTTTCCAGGCTGTAGCTCAGAGTTAGGACAGTAGCGAGTTACGAGTTACCGGAGAGACACAGGAGAATATTCCTCCTGGGTTCTAAGAGTTCATCCAAAAAAGCTCCTGCAAATGGCACAAAACTTAAATGCATTAAAAAGTGAAGTGGTTAAATATCTTAATTTCTAAAGTCTAAAAAACATGACTGAAGCCACCAAAGCTCTGCTATAACACGCCTCCTCACTATCTTCTGTTCCTTCTTCTTGAGTTCCAATTTCTAATTGCCACATTCTTGCAAGTCTCCCCCAGACAGCAGTTTTCTTCTCAAGTTGCTTATTTCCCTCTCTCAGACCTCCTCTCGTTTCTATTCCTTACATGCAGCAGTTTTGTTCCTAATGCATGCATTTTATCCTCCGAGCAATAAAACTCCTTGAACTAACACACTATGTTTTTACAAGTGCACGTGCACTTCCATAAATTAATTTGTCCAAAAGATTCTGGGTAGTCATTGGACAGAATGCCAAGGGGAAAACCCCACAGTGCCAACCTGTACGTGAATCTTTCTAGCCTCCTGCCACTATTCGGAAAATACTTCTATCCCCTCCCAGCTTCCACATCCATAAAATAGCTTGCACTGCATACATACGACTTTCATACATGCTAGAAAAGGATCATTAAAAAACCCCACCACCCTTTGTGTTTACCAAACAAGTGTTTTTGCTGTAGCCTGTTCCCGCCTTAAATGAAGTATTTCCTATTCACCTTAGCAATTAGAGCAGAAGGATGCAGTGAATGAAGTGCCTCATTATCAAGTTTGCATCCACGGTCTCTGCAGAATGGCTACCATGCCGGCTATTTTTCATAGCTGTCTGCTTTTGCTTGTAAGGGGCCATTGTTAACCCTAAATGATCCTGACATTCAATTCTCCATCAGACAATCGGGTCCAGCCGGCAGATTTAGTTCACTAGTCAACAGAGACTTTCGGTTGTCATGTTCCTCTGTGTTCTCATTAGCCCTTGTTTGACTGTGATCCATCCCCTACTGCCTGCTGAATTAAGTGATGCTACAAATGCACTTATTGTGTTTTATGATGTCTGTCCCTCAAATTATTTTAAGGCAAAACCTAAATGCAGTCTGATGGCTATTGGGAAGCACAGGAAAAATGTGCCATCCATTCTTCTCTATTTTGTCGATTTAGGCATTGTTCTCCGTGGCTCTGCCGTATCATAAAAACGTAATAGGAACTGGATGTTGTAACCACTCACACAAAACCTAAAAACACCAGAACAATGAAAGACCTACCATGCTGTTATCACCAGGCAGTTATCAATATCTAATATTCACCCTTTCTCAAACAAGGTTTATCTGCTTTGTTCCAGCAATGAACTTGTATCACCCTCTAAAAACTCTTCAAATAGACTTTTATAACTCTTGTATCTTAATTCATGCCTCAGGGAGCAATTTTGCAGGGCACTCATGTTGCAGGATACTTAATGTAGTTCTTCAAATAAAAAAACCAAACCAAACCAAAACCCATGAAAATTGTCAGTAGGCAATCAGAATCCTTCTGGAATTCTTTCTTCCACTGAAATTTAAGCCCCTTAAATACTGGGACAATTTTCAGCAAATGTACACAATGTTAATTTTAAAGTGATTTTAAAAATATGCAGGGTGCATTAACGCAGAAACAGCTATTATGTAAATTTTCATTTAAAAAAAATTTTCTTTTTAAAACATCACCCTAATCCTGACTGTTTAAAAGCTTCATCCCTTCTTGTAAGTTTAAAATCCCAGCAGCAATGTCTGAAGAATGAAGAATCTACTAACACTGAAGAGAGAAGCAGTTCTTCTTGAAATGAATGTATCTGCCATATTTCTGAACAAAAGGTAAAAACTGCCTTTGCCATGATGCCATGTTAGTAATTTGTTAAGAGGTTTTAGTCTGAAGGTTCTAATTTTAATACTGAAGGGTCACTTGACTTTTTTTTTTTTTAACTTTCAGATCTTTTTGTTCATTTTCTGTTAAACGAGTGCAGAAAACCCTAGTACCACAGTGACACGGGATAAAGCAACAGAAGCCTGTCACCAGCCATGTGGTAGGGAGGAAAAGAATTATAAACACTAAACAAAAGCCACTGCAATTACAAGAAAACATTATGGAAAGTTTATTTTCGACTCCCTGCATTTTCATGTTTGGCTCTTATCTGATTCCTTCTGCTTAATTGTTATTTGGAACCGTGCCTTGGAAGACACTACTGCTGCCTCTCCTCTCAATTTGGAAAGTGTGGCAAAGCGGCTCTATTCAGCTTCAGAGCAGTGAACATAATTGGAGCCCTAGTTCGCAAGCATGAAAGGAGGTGCTGTGCCTTTGATTAGAACTACCATCTCTCTGCGGTGTTTATCTGAAGTGTTATTTCTGTCTTCAGTGTCCACAATGCCAAATTAACATTTTACAATGCTTTCCAATGAGCTCCCAGATCTTGGCTACTGCTCAGCTCGCCCTGACGTGGAGCCTGATGTCATGCTCTGCCCTTATTTTAAATGTGATCCAGGACACTTCAAGAAACATAGGATGTTGAGATTTTTTGCTTCTATAAAATCTTTAAATCCCACGTCACACAGAACGATGAGTTGGAGTACGTTGCAAAAGCAGTGAGAAAAGAGGCCAGGAGCCTTGCTGGAAGCAGGCAGTACCAGGACAAAGACGATTTTACATCACCTCTGACTGGGGAAAGGGACATTAATAAGTTTCCAGGACACATAGGCAAGTCACATTTAGGGGAGAACTCCATCCACGTGCTCTAAGCAAAGCAACGCTAGGACTGTTAGCAAAGAACAACTACCAGTGTGGCCAAAAAAAGTATGTTTGTTGCCACGCTTTACTCAAAAGAAACAAGTTTACAGATTTTTCTGGCTTTAAAACATGTGCAGGGAAGATATTACAATATATAGCAACTAGTCCTCTGCATCTGGGTGCATTTCACACATCAGTGCCCAACATTGTTATTCTCACTTCTTTTTTTAATGGAATCAAGTGCCCTGTCTACTAAATAAGGGCTTTCTAATTTTATGTTATTTATTGCTTCAGAGGGGGAGGAGGAAGAATTTCCTAGCAGAGTAAAAATAAACTGGACATCATCAGCCAGAAAAACTACCAACACTAACTGATAGAAAGTGTTTCCTTTAATACAAAACATAAATTATTTACCACTGTAGATAATTAGTGAAGTCATTAGTAAAAGTTCACAACATAATACTCAAGTGAAAAAATAGATTAATGACACAAGTGAATAAGGACTACAAGTAAAGCAAACAGCACAGTTGGATATGAAACATTTCCCTCAGACAAAAGAAAGTGTATTTGGCAAGAGTGCTGCCAAAGCAGCCAGGAACTCTGACAAGACTGCAACGCACCTTTAGTATGTGCAGAAAACCTCATTTGAAAAATAGAATTCGCAACACTTATTTACATTGGTAAGCATGAGTAGTCCCACTGAAGACAGTGTAGTTGCATAGGTCGTTACTCAACAATTCACTTCAGAGCTGCAAAATGCAGTCCAACTGAGTATTTGATGTCAGGAAAATATTTTTTAAAAGCTTACCTTTTCAGGTACACTGTAGTGTCAGCATTCCTTTGGAATTTTACCGTTGTGAACTCCATCTTACTTACAAATGTAAGTAAACGTACTTACATTTTAAAATGCTAATTTAATAACTTATGTAGTGTTTGGGCTTGTTTTGCTCTAGATCATGCTTTTTCACTTCATTCTCTGCTCTCCATGGATTGATCTAAAGTCTACAGAAATGCCTGTTTAGCCTAAGTTAAGGTGTAATCACATATTGGATTAGTTAACATTGTATTTGTCAGCAGGGTTCTCAGTCCAGTGAGGAGCTGAATATTCACGTTCTGTTGATTTCATGAAACCCAGGGCAAAAGTCTTCCAAAACAGGTTTACACCATTGGTGAGTCACAACTGGTGCCATTTTGCATATTTGAGTATTTAAACCTTTTTTTTTTTTTGTGTTTATCCTAGAAGCGAGATCGTAGTTGCAGCCTTAACACATAACACTGAATATCACACCGCTATTCAGAACTGAATTATGACTATATGTCATAGTGTTCAGGCTCAAAGGCAATATTTGTCTTTCCATTTGTGCTTAAGTCTGAGCCTCTCACTGCCTTTTTCTTCTTCTTCAATTCCACCCCATGGGCCGTAGGTTCATTTTCAACACCATTAGCTGTAACTGATGATACAGGACTATCGAGACCCATTAAGTTGTGCTGATTTTCTATCTCGTTCTTCTGTATCCTTTTCTTCTTTTTCTTTGCACCTCTAGAGGAAGGTGAATATAAAGAGAGTAAAAGAAACACAAGGTTAGCCCAAATTTAGAGCTTTTTCCATCCACAGCTGATGTGTTAGAGCAATTGTCTGCCTGTCCCTCTTGAGTACAATGCTGAAACAGCTACAAAACCTATCGTTCCACAGCAGAACAAAGACAGAAAAAACATGAAGACAAAATATGAGACCACTCCACTAGTCTACTTTTTAACATATCATAGCATTGCTTTGAAAATAACTGCTCATGATCTTAAAAATCAGCTAGTCTTGATCAATAGTCAACAGATGTAATTAGAAAATACAAATTACCAGTCTCCTCCTCTCATAAAAGCCATTTCACATTTTTTTTTTTCCTTCCTAAGCCCAAACACCAAAATACTTGCAATTAAAGGAGATTCCTGGTTTATTTATTCAACCAGAGTAAGACAGGCAGGCAAAATGCCCAAGATTAGTTCTTCCGGTTTAGTTTACCTGAACTATGAGAGATTTATAGAATCAGAGATCACTTTAATGTCTATTCATGCTTATTGGACTTCATACAATGCCAAAAGCATCAGTGGAGCTTCTGTATCTCTCCCAGTTAGTGCCTTTACCAAGGGAATTAGACTGGTCTTGCAGATGATGCCAGGGATTATGCAGAGGTTATAGCACTTCTACCATGAATTCCCACTCTTGACAGAAGTTGTAACTTTACTTAACTACAAATATCTAGTAATTCTTTGACTGTAACCTTTGAAAGGCCGGTAGTGTCTTTGTTCAAAATTTGTGTTGCGCCTAGCACAAAGAAGCCTTGGTTTGTGACCAGAACTGTTACGTTGAATGCTGCTGAAACACATAAGCGAGTGGATGAATCAAAACTAAAGAATGTAATGAGATATGCGCAGTTTCCCCAAAAAGGGTGCTGCAAGAGCATTACTGTTGCTGATACTGTCCTGATGGAATCATATTTTATACAGGAAAAATGTTTACACATCAGCCTTGTGAATGGACTGATGACTATCTCCCTATAGTTGCTATTTTTTTTAAGTTCAATTGTGTATTCATGAATACATTAATTGCTGCAGCTTTAATACTGGAACATCCTGGAGGAAAACATTCTGGAGTTTAAGACCCTCTTTGTTAGGATTCCTGGAACAATTTGAGAAGTGCTGCTGCACGAGGAAACCGGGGTACAAAAATCATAATTAGTCAGCAATGTAAGCACCAATCTACCAAACTGAGTGTTCTGCTGGGTCTGATGCATAATCATTTATAAATTTATGCAGAGAGCACTACCTAGTGTAGCTCAACAAAACTGTACAATGGGAATATATCTTAGGAGATGTCTGTCCTGACAAATAGCATCTAATCATTAATATTTGAAGGGTGAGGCTACTGTGCGGATTTTCAATACAAAGCTAGTCAAATTTTGAGAAGTAGTTTTCATCTTTTTATTATTTGAGCATCAGATGTGATTATGTATCAAATCTTTGAGATACTTAGACAAAAACCTTACTTCACTGAGCATCTGTTATGTGGACATTTCTCTTTCTTCTGGAGTCTGCAGAAGATAGGTTAACTGCTTGGCTAAGATAAAAACCTACTACCACCTTGGATATAACATGTTTTCCTATTGCAAAACCGTATTTTCCATCCAGAACTTCTGAAAGACAGACATGTCATAAGGGCTTGCCATTCACTTTCTTTTACAGCAGGTATTGTGGCCATAATGAGTACTGTTCTAATAGGCAAAACAGCAAACATTCATCTGGAGACTCAAAGAAAGGTATAGTGAGTTATGCAGGTGCTAACAGTTTCACTTCTCCATAGCAAAAGCACGTACTTGGCAATCACATCTCACTTGATTCTTATGAAGTTCATTTACTGCATCATTCCTATTATATGCTAGCATGTGACATGGATACTAAGTGTATTCTCACAGAAAGCAGGGAGGTAACAATGTTTTAGGTGGAGCACCTATTTAAGTACAGATTGGACTTGACCTCAAGTCACACTAGTACTGCTTTTAGATGCTAAACCAGAAAACTTTTCCAGTTAAGATCACACCACTTGCATGTGTGTCATTTTTTAAGGTTATTTCAAGACACATCCACTGCAGTGAACAAGAAAACTACAGTTCTGTCACAGCCCCTGCAGGTCATGGCTTCAGGTACAAAGTAGTGAGAGTGTTCATGAAAGATATGCAGCCATGTTTCTGAGATGCTTTATTACCTAATCTGTACCATACAGATAGCCTATACACAGAAACATGGGACAGTCTTTCAAGGTAGTGGCATCAGAAATGCCAGAAGATCCTTCTCTCTTCTAACTCTCAAAGTAAGGCATAAACTTGTGGCCTCTTCTGAAAAGAACTTGGTATGTGCAGTCATTGCTATAATTACAGACACGTAAATCACATTTCATTATGGTCTAATTCATCAAAGAGCTTGCAAAGTACATACTTCCAGATTCAAGCTTTATATCGGGAATAGACATTACTCAGATTTACATTCTGATCTTAAAACATGCAGCGAAAACTGCCCTCTCCACATCAGACAAAACACAAGCACCGGGGACAAATGCAGCAAAAACATGATAAAGCCTAGAACATTCTGTACACAGAAGGAAAATACAGCACTGTCTGACATGTCTATCTTCCTCCCTTTCCAATTAGTTCTCCCTTGACAAGGTATAGCATCAAACACTACCTCATAGCATCTTTCACTAATGGTCAGGCATAAGTGGCTCAGTACCCTGAAAGCTTGTGAATGAGGCTCTGCAACATTGCTCTTTGCCCAGATGTGACAGCAATGACACAAAGCACGACTTCAGACCGGCATCTCCATGATGCTCCTGCTCCCTACAGTTCAGGAGGAGAGGGAGTACATTCCAGTGACTCAGGCATGCAGGTGTCTTCTCTCACCTTTCTGAAATGTAACAAGTGGGTCTGGGGCTCTGTTTCTTCAGCATGACACTTCAGTGTGACCTCTGTTCAGGACAACCTTAGTTTCCATTAAAGTAAGTATTTCACATTTGACTCAAGATTCTTCAATTTCATTAAATTATTTGTGATTCCACATTTTAAATCTGTGGTCCCACTTTCTTCACTGGATGCCCTGGAAAGGTCACTCAAAATAATTATTTCTTGAAGTTCTACTAATGGAGTTGAGTCATCCCAAATTTTTGATACTGGCTCCTTACAGACTGAATCAACCGTCACAGTAATCGTGCTTTTAATGCATTTCCTTCCTTAATGTACATCCTGTCAGAATAGCTATGCCCAAAATTCAATGCTGAATTTTGCCAATGTGTAGTTATACAGCCCATTCCTCATCACACACAAAGGTTAAACTTTCTACTCAGTTTATTTTCAGATCTAGATACAGCTTGAGATAGAAAATTAAGATTTAAAGATAAGTTAAAATTGGATATGTGTCTGCATCTACACTGTATATGCACAGTTTATATGGGGATAGGACCAGTCTGGAAAATGATCAGTGAAGTAATTTTGCTTAGCTGACAGATACCTGCAACAGCAAACACAAGAAGTATTTTCAGATGTATTTTTTGAAGTATAAATGGTTGCAATAGCTAAAGATATTGTGGAAGCTCTGGTTCAAAAAGTTGAGATCTTACCTGCTTACAGCTTCCACACAACAAATACACGATTTCTAAAAAATGCAAGTGTCACAATCAAAGGCGCTGGCTTGCATCTTCTCAGTATGTGACAACCTTTTGCAATTTGTATTAATTAATTTTTAGAAGGTGCAAAAATAGTTTGCAGTTTGTAGCGAAAAAGCCTAATACATAGCTAAGGGATGCCACAAGGCAACCCCATATCCCCGAGTTTTGGTTCTCTTGTACATTATAGTCCTTGCTCTTTTTGGGAGAGTGTGCGTTTGCATATGTGTACATGTACACAAACTGTTATTTCCTTCATATTTGAAGGTGTGAAGCACTTTTTGAATGATTATCCTAAAGCTAACTTCTTGTTCTGCTTGCTAAAACAAAATAACCCTTCCAACATTTCTCACAGTTTTCTAAGAGCAGTCGTAGAAATAACGCTGAAAATTGTTTTAAGTATTTCTTGCTTACTGTGTTGCAGGTGAGCCTCTATCTGTGTCATGCTCCGAGCTGAATTTTAGGTCCCCTGACTTACCGATGACTGGTGACATCTGTAAAAAAAAAAAAAAAAAAAAAAAGCAGGAAGGTAAAAAGACGGCAGACAATGGGGCCAACACATGTACATAGAAAACCCACCAGCTTCCTGAATAAGGAGAGAATATACCTCGTTTGAAAAAGAATGTCTATCAGCCATAAAATGTTAACTCCTATGTGGTTACAAACAGGGAAACAGTACCCTGCTTTAAAAAAACCCAACAAAACTACTTGCAAATAGAAGTTTTCAGGTATATGTAGAAACAAGAAGTTATGAATCTGCTTGAAGTAAGCTTAAAATACACATGGTCTGTAAAGAATTAAGTTATTTCTGCTACTTCACGAGTAAAGAGAGAATGCTAAAAAGCCATCTTATTGCATACTTTTAACAAGAGAAACCTGTCTATTTTTTAACCCTGCAAGTTTCAGGAAAAAAGCAGTTCAAATCACTGCAGGTTACTTTGTAATTCGGGGCTAAAACCATCCAACAAACCAACCTGGAAGAGTTTATGTAAATTCTCTAATTTCTATTGTAATTAGTGGGTCTCTATGCTACTGGCTCCCTTCATAAACAAACCTCTTCTAACAAGTCTCATACCTACTGCAAAAATTCCTGTAAAGAAATGAGAGTGCCCTTCCTGAGTTTACTGTCTTCAGGGACAGATTATTTTCTCTACCTTCTTCCAGGCTGTTCACAAATACCTGCTAACTACCCATGTAGTTTCATTTTCATGGAGGGCAGAAGCCAACACAATTGATACGCCTTATGTCTCACTCAAAATTTGCTCTTCTGGAAGCAGGCATACACTACACATCTAGCCAGAAACTTCAGGCCTCCAGAGATCCACAACCAAGGAGAAAGCTGTGGAAAGAAGTGCAGCACACTGTAGGTTCAGAGCCTCAGTGAAAAACTTGTGGATCTCTAGTTCAGGTTGAGGGGACAGCTATGTTCTGTAAGTGTCTGTTTAGTATGGCATGCATGAAAGAAAAACAGAAGTTAGATCCAGGCAAGCACTGCGAGAACGGGGACCGATTCCTATGAAGACCTTGGAAAGCTAGAGAAGAAGTCTCTTTCGGGATACTGGAGCCCTATGCCAGAGAAGGGAGGGAGAGATTAGAACTAGTACTTTCCAAAAAATTAAGGTTTTTTCAGGGAGTAAAGGAGAAGAATGGGCTTGAAACTTAACCCTCAAAACTTGGCCCGTGCTTATAATTTTTTAAGACTGTTAGTTGAATTTTGGATTCATAGCCAGGCTAAAGTAAAACATACTACGTTGTTTCTGAATTTCTCAAATATCCTTATAATTAAAAAGATCAGCCCATCCAGTTCTGCCAAGCACAGAGGTATTCATCTGCTTGTAAATAAGATGTTTAAGGTTCTGCTATCAGCCTGACTTGCTCCAGGAAACAGCCAGCTACTGACATGACTGTCTCTAAAACCTCAGTTAAAAACGAGCAGCGTTGGGAAGGGAGTATCACTCAGCAGCTTCGGAGTGCCTACCAACAATATAGCACCTAAAAAAGTAACCACAAAGTCAACAAGAGCTTTCTGGAAAGAAGACAAAAATTACAGTTCTTGACCCTCTAGTCTGCCAATTGTTCATTTCCTTTTGTGTGACCTCACAGGCAAAGTGTCCCATGGCTCCTCAGTATTTAGCTTAAACAGAGAAAATAGAGGGTTGCTTCACAGCAGTTCTTTTTATCACTTAAGCATTAGTTTTAGTGTTTTAGAAAGGAACAAATCCAGTTTGTTTTCAGACACTAAACTTATCCATCACAGATTTCAAAGCCCTAATGAATAAAAATTAACATCCCCCTGTCAAGTTCTACTGTCCAATTTTAATTCAGGATAAAGTGAGGCACAGATGAAAGTTGTCTTGGCACACACAATGAAGACTGTGTTGGAACCAGAATCCGGATCTCCCAAAATCTCAGTTTAAGGACCTGAACAGTTTAATTACGTTCTTAAACTCTAAAAGGAATCATTTAAAAAGCATCTAGTCAACGGTAGTAGTTGAGATGTGAATTTTTTTGTCTTGGTCCTGCTCCCTATTATTATTTTATTAGTTTAATAATATTTTTCTGCTGACTTAGAAGAAACAGCATCAAGCTCTCATTGAGCTTCATATAAGCACACTACCCACAACAACCACATTCAAACATTGGTCATTAGAATTAGTCTGCTGAAATAACACAGATTGTTGGATTAGTTTAGACAAAAATCAGCGTATTAGGATATAATAATATAGCATTGGCAGAGCTAGGAAGAAAAATCTACTTTACACGCAAAATCCTTGTTAATACAGTAATAAACTTGAGACTAAGTCAATGGTAAAAGTAAACACAATAGAAGGAAATATAATGCCACTGATATGGAAATACAAGGGAGTGCTGTAAAGGGAATCACTAAGTAACTAATACTTCCTTCAGGATTCATAATCTTGTGATTCTTGCCATACACAATCATTAATTCATTTTACTTCAGTCAAAACAAAATCTTTTTCTGAAAATCCTATGTGAATCATGTTGAACTAGGTTTTTTTACCCTCCCTTTTGAGTAAATAAAACAGAATCTCGACATTATACCAATACTATAATCAAATATGGGCATTTCCAAAGCACAGTTTGGTAGAATTTCTTTAATTGCCAATACAGAAGACTGACTTCTCTTAGACAAAACAGACTAAGTTTTTAGTATGTACAGATACCAAAACACAGAAAATGATCCTTAGTTTACAGTTAGAAGATTAAAGTATCCACTAAATTAAGCTGCCTAACTGAAGGTTCTTATGATCTGTTTTAAAAAAAAACAAAAAAACAACCTACTCATCACATAGGCTTTCATATAGTCAAGTACAGCATTTCAGTATGGGTACCAAGGAAAGAGAAGCACACAATTAGAGATTATCTTGGAATAGCTGCGTTCACCTGACATGGTAACTAATGAGAAATCCTAGCGTCTGTAGCGACAGACTCCCAGTTCTCCAGAGTACAGTTCAAATATGATACCTTTCTTACCTACAAACTTTCAAGTATGTAATGAGGCAAGAACTAGATACTAGATCTTTTTGAAGCAGATCTCACTGCCACTACCTTCTCCTCCCTATTCCACATACCTTTGTGTCCCTCACCCCACTCCTTGAACTACTTTCCCCATCCCAGTGATGTGAGTAAGCAATAGCAGTGCTGAAGGAACAAGCAGGGTCAGCAGCAGATGCAAGAAGGCAGTGCAGGAGCTGGTGCAACAAGAGGATGAAGCAGCAGAAGGAGCACAGTGGAGGCTGTGAAAACAGGCAGAAGATATGTGGTGAAGGAGGTAATGGTAGCACTTAAGACACTGAGAGTACCTGGAGGACATGCTAATGTAAGGAGCAAGCCACAGAAATCTCGAGTATGGAGGGGCTGAAGAGGCTATTGATCTCCTTCCCCATTTCTAAAGCTCTCGTCCTCTTGTTACACATGGGCAGATCTCACAGGAGCTCCAAAGAGCTCTGCACTATTACCACTGTGTCCAGACTAAGATTCAGCAAACCTAGCACTGTAACATGTACAGAGTTAGCTATTAAATTTAACCAGATTGCAGAGCTTAAATATTAATACAGAACTGTTAGGGCTCCATCTGCTTTAAAGAAAAAAAAATTAATAAAAAAATTATTATGAATATCTTGAACGTTTCTGTTCACAAGAACGAATAGTGAACACAGTACAAAATATGAGCTCCTTTGTATAGTGCCACTAATGGTGTTCAATTTTGTTGCCACATTCCAATTCTCCACCCTTTGAAAGATATAGCCCACCAGAAGGAGAGAACATCAGTTTGTATCAACTGTAGAAGCTTAGGTTTTTCTGAAGTTTCTTTTGCTTTACTATCAGAAAAATAAAAATTGTAATAAAATATATACTCCCTTTTCTAGAAGACTTGCTTGCTTTACAGCTCATTTGGCCTCAATTTTTTGATAACCTTGTCTCAGTGTTGCCGCATAAGAAGAAACCAAGGCAAAATAATTAAAGGCTAAATACACAAAAGCATTTCAGTTCCTGACCCCTGCTGTAGAATCCACAGCAGTAAGTAAAGCACTAAACCATACCTGTACAACTTGGAGAAACAATCATACATGTATCAGAACGTACTTCATAACAAAACCTGAAGCAGAGGGTACCTAAAAGAAATACCAGGAACAAAGTTTCATCCCAAGTCTACATCTTTGGTAGTGCTTTCCGCTAGGCTGCGCAGAGTTGTCTCTGAGACTGATGGTCTGCAAAGGTAGCGTGATAGACTAGGAGGTAGATGGACAAAATGGAGTGGTGCAGGCAACCACTTGCTCTATAGCCTACTCTGCACAGGGGAACTCTCCCATAGAAGCTGTTTCTACTGAACTTGATCTAATTAAAGATTCATTGGATCACAGAGGGCAAGAACAAACATGTCTCTCTGTCTTTTCAGACTAGTGTTTAGGTCATTAAACTCAGTATTAAGTTTGTGCTTTGTTTTCTATTATGCAGTCCATGGATAGAAGATTTATAGCAATGTACATGACTCCCCAGAAACATGCCAATGCCTCCTGTCAAAACTGTTTTAACAAGTCAGGTTTGGGGGATACCACACATTTTCTTTCCTGCTATTCCGTGCCCCTCCACACATTTCCCCATTAAATGAACAACTGGCAGGGAGATCTGCTGGTGTTTCTATTGCCATGACCTTCCTATTTAAAATATAACAACTTATAATTAATAACTTATAATTGCTTTTTTCCCTCTCTAGTGTTTTTAAAGAACAAGCCTATCTAAATCAGATTCACCATATTGTAATCCTTACGTCTAACAGTATTAACTTAGCTGTGAGTATCTAGCAGAACCATGGCTCTGTACACAACAGAGACACTGGCATGAATTTCTCTTTTTCCCCTAAAAAACAGCTAAACTGCTGTAGAGTTTAGGACTATGCCAACACCGACTGGCTTCTCCATCCACAAATGCTAGAGCCACAGGCAGAGAGAACTTTGCCTTGTCTAGTCTT